TCCGTGCCCTGTGCGTTTACTTTTCGCCCAATGTTGAGGTTTACTGATTAGTATGGCTATTTAGTATTCGGGCTTGTCAGAGCAATCACAGTCAACAATTTATTAAACTACAGAGAAAAACATAAACCCCGAGTGTTAATGAAGCAAGCCTTCCAACGAAGATTAAATTTTCCATTACCATGGGATTGGTTTTGTGGTTGACAAACCTCACACTAGTTAAACCGAGCTGGGCGGGTTTCTCGCAGAACAAATACTGTAAAGCTGATGTTTAATGTAGGGTATCCGGTACTCGTCACACTGCCTGTGTATCAGATATATTTAACTACGTTACCCGAAACTTTGTATTTTAGTCGAAGGAGAAAAACATGTTTTGGGTGTTACAAAACGAGCTATTTAAGAGGTTGATCGGAAGTATATAATGCGGAAAACTGCATAATTAAGATACAAATAGACTACTTTCTTTCTTTCTTTCTTTCTTTCTTTCTTTCTTTTGGCTTTATCCAGTGCATGTTTTTAACAAAGTGTTAACATCTTAAAACGTAACTACATTTTTCATCTTTTATATTCAGGTAAATACAATGGGGAGACTCCTATTCTGTTGGATCGGGGATAGTTTGGGCTACCCCATCCAACATTATAGGTGTGTTTCTCCACCTACCCCTCACCCCCGCTAAAGACGAAGAAAAATCGAGATACAGTGATTTTAAGGTTTTAAGATTTCTGAGACTTTTAAAAGAACAGACGATGGATGAATCCCAAAAGAAAGTAGTAATACAAGACCTTAGCCAAAGATATTCGGGTAAGAAGATTTTAATAGGAGTTTCAGTCAGGGAGAACGAGTTTGATAAGTAACATGAATGAGTAAATGGGGAAAAAATTTAAATGTTACATGAGAGGAATCTCTTTCGAGAATAGAAATAGGTGGACGGATAATGTGAATACTGGTCTTAGAGAGACAAGATGTAAAGGTGATGGCTGACCTCAAATGACTCATAATGGGGTGTAATGGCGGAATTTTACGAACGTCTTAATACGCCTTCGAGGTCCATAAAATGAGGGATGTCACTGACGAGCAGATTCTAAGTGCTCGCCCTTTAAAGAAGATTTGTGTACCATGGAGCTATTTCATCGTCAGATTCTTAATAAATATCACTTTTATTAGTAATGACAACATTATTGAAAACAGAGTGTTCAGGGAAATAATTTGATCTAACAGGTAAATTAATTCATTTATTTGTGGTTCATTTAACGATCTGTTAATACGTCAGACTATCCGTGGAATGTAAGAGACAGCTAATGAATAAATAATTGTGAGAAGTACATGCAAGTAAGGAGTCGTGGATCGATTTGAGGTACTATTTTTGTATGTTACTGGATGGACGGCGGAGAACAACGAAAACCCTAAGTCAAGATACCCTTACTCCGGCCGTTTTCAACCCGGGTACGAGGAACATGGTTGCCAACAGCCCTGTCACGATGTTCGTTAACTTGTGTGAAGAACGTTGACGGTTTGAATTATTTGATACCGAGAATATTCTTGACTGTAACAGGGACAGAGAAATAATGAATGAATAGCTCTAGCGATCAGGTGCAGCGGAATACGTTTTGAAGATTACCGTCGTCTGGGATGTTGCGCCGTGTAGTCTGGCAGAAATTTACCAACGTCTCAAAGCTGCTTCCTGTCTCCATCATCAGGGCGATTATAGTAATTATCAATGAGTGTTCGCATTGCCACCATGTTGGTGTTAATAATTGTAGGAAAATAAAAACTTCAGTTATGTGTTAGTAATTGCAGGAAATATAAATTTCAGTTACGTAGTGTCGTCTTATTTAATGATTTCCATACCAAGTTTCGTGAACATTCGTCACATTTTTCGTGGTTTATTATCTTATTATAACTAGAAAGGCAGACACACGATCATGCGGATACTTTGTCCTTCTTTATAGAAGTAAGGTTTTCTAAAATTGAATAAATTCGTCATACGCATTGAAATGTTACGTGTTTTCTTGAGTTTAAGATGTATTGATCGCGAAGTAGCACATGCTGGACCGTGTCTGAAATGTTTTATGAACAAGCCTTACCCCCCACACATAATTTATACGGCGGACGTGTGGTACAGCGCTGGTGACGAGACGGCTCCGTGGGTAATCCAGTGACTCTCGTAAGCTTTACAAAATTGCCAGAATAAACAAACAGATGGGTACCACTCCGGACAAACTTTTTCGCTACAACATCTCTTGCCAGTAAACTCAGTTGTAAAAACTATTGCGTGGTTTAAGTTATAACATCTCTTGCCAGTAAACTTAGTTGTAAAAACTATTGCGTGGTTTAAGATGAATGTACAGAACAAAATCGAAAACACGGCTTTGAGCTATCTAATCCATCTGTGACCCTATATTTTCATTTCATTTTCCTCCATTTAATCTCCATAATACTTTTGGTTAAAATTACAAATTATAAATCTCCGATTATTTCGTTGGCTTCATTACTATTTACTCTGAAACACCCTGTATATTGTTCCCTGCTTTTATAGACCAAGTTTTTCACTTTTATAATACAAGAGGGAACATTTAGTATCAAATTTCATAAAAGAAAAATAGAGTATGAGGAAGTGGAATGCATTGAACCGATTCTGGTTAGTATCAAGTGGCTGGCTTCTATATTGTAATGAATGTTAAGTTTTCTCATTTAATAAGAGGCCCGTTTTGATTGAAAGTTTAATGGAGAACACAGGGAGTAATGACACGTCAACACGGCAATGAAGCTTCGGGTCCTGTTAAGCGAAGAACTTTTTGACCAGATGAGCAAATTACGAACTTTCTGAGAAAGTTTCTGAAGCATGGGGCAACGTATTTTTAACATTAAGCACTCCGATAAGAATCTTTATAGTGCGTGATCAGCCATTGCTCTGATGTAATTGCTACATTACGTTAATGTTTGTCTTTTCGAGTTCATCCATCTAACATGCATTAAAAGTCACGATGTTTCGATACTTTGCCTACTCTGTTGGATCCGGTATCCATACTTCGATGGTTGGTGATTTTGAAGCCATTTTGAAGTCCGGCAACAGATTATAGATGAAATCCAAGTTAAGAAATACCATTGCAGTACCATCGCCAGGGACATTCAGAGAAGAACTAAAATTTTGTGAGCTAAACTAACCAGATGGCCTACCGAACCCGAAGGTTCATCACCGAATTAACCAAAGTCCTCCACCGGACCCTGTCCTAGGCCAACAAAATCCAGTCTCCTTCAACTCCTATCTCCCATAGATCCCGCCTGAGATTATCCCTTTGTGAGCTGTTGAAATATTTTATTCGAAATCAGGTCTTTTAGATTCGATTTCTGATATCGATCCGGACAGGGTCTAATTTACGAATAATACTCTTCAAAATTTCTTTAGTTGCTAAATGATAATGCTAGAATTTTGTTTCAGAATAGTCTATTTAAGGAGCAGATAGCCTTTTTCTGTGTGCCCCAGAGTTCCTATGTGTTATCTGTTCCAGGGTTTTTTGTTCCGTCTTGTACTTTTCTGTCATGATAGGAAGTTTCCTATATGTTGATTTCCATCAGATGATCTGTCGTGTTTCATAGATCTTCATGGCTCAGAACTAATTTTGTAACGAAACAATCTACGGTCTATTATATGGAATATAAGAGTACAGTAGTTCAACTGTAGCAAATTTCATGAATATTCTTATTATGTATCTAAGGACAGAAAGACCGAAGATAAGTAGATTATTAAACGGAACGCTCTTAAAATGTTCGATATATTATTCTGAAAATGAAATCAAATTCTACAAGTATTCCAAGTAATACCTGTTATGTTTGCATTTGATCTTTAAGCTACTTTACCATGTATTTACTAAAGAGATACCAAGAGAACTATATTCTTCCGGTAGAATAATCAATTTGAACACAGGGAAGAGGCAATATCATCCAGACGTCAAATATGTTTGCTGGTTCAAACTTGGCGGAAGAAATGTAGAAGTTCGATAGTCATGTATGTAAATTCTGTTCCCCGTGCTAAGTGATTCCGCTGAGTATTCAGTGTTATTATACGTCACGTTTGCACTGCTATCCCAGTAGTAAGTGCAAGTCTCTTACTCCCAGGAGGGGAAAACTGTTGTGAAGTGTTGTTATTTATGCAAGAGATCACTTCCCACCCCTTATGCAGTTATACTTTCCCCTACTCCAGCGTCAGAAGACTAAACTCCCTGAGTCTTGAAATGGCTGTTTTCTGGGATATTACGCCTTGCAGTATGATAGAAATTTACAAATATTTCAGAGGAACTTGCTGCCTTCATTATCAGCGAGATAATCACCCTTACGACAATAGCTTTGTGCGGTGTCTGATTCAAATTAGACAGTTGATATAATGTGACAAGAAAGACGTGATAATAATGGTAATTAATGATGATATCATAACTAGTCGACCTTAATTTTGCATTCAAGGTGTAAAAGAGAAATATTTATATGTTTTTTAAAGAACACGGTCCTTAACGTTTGCTTTGCTACAAATAAAATTAAGTTTTCCAAGAGTACAATATGAAAGATGTCGCTAGGATTTTAATTATTTACGCTTGTGAGACTTTATATTGTGGTCTACTGGATTTTGCGCTTCGGTCTCCAGGGTATACCGTCATATATTCTCAAAGCTCCTAGACGCTGTGAGGGGAATTTTAGGAAGGGTGAACTATATAAATCTAAGAAGAGTCTCGCTGTGTATTAGAGGCAATGTTATGGAGGAATTAACAAGATAAGGGAGATTTTCAAGGGATAAATCAGTTATAAGTGATAATACGTTTACGTGCTCTCCATACTAGACTGCAAATATAAAGAAAAACAGTGGAAAAGTAGAGGTTTGTATTATCCTTCTTCATCATTTCATGTTAGAGGGGCTCAAAGCCTTTCCAGCTCATTGCATATTTTTTTGAGATATGCCTCGATTTCGGAATTCTTTCTGTATGTATTGTAGAATGTGTTTGAATGTCCTTACATCTGACTTTGCATCTAAATGGTTTATACAGCTTTATCATCATCTGTTTTATATTGCACTGCTTGTTGTTTCCTTATATTATAATTCGTGATGTGGCTTGGTTTAGTACAATCTTGAACCCTTCTTGAGTTTCCCTTTCGTTGGTCAGGTTTCCTTCAGTAAGTTAAACTAAGGCTGTCTTGTTGAGAATTATGTCAAGAAGCCTGTTTAGTTTACGTGGGCAGACGTCGAAGTTTTGACAAATGACGTTAACAAGTAATGTGTCAACACACCTGGCAGGCTGACAAAGTATCGAAGTAACGAGAATAGGAGTCACAACTGATGGCAAGAAGAAGTGCGAATAGCACCTGTTCACAATTTAATTCCCCAAAGTTTTATCATTAACGATGTAGGAGTATGGTGTGAATTGGGAAAATAAAATTCAGAAATCTAGAGATTTGTTAATAATTCTAATTGCCTGACTAAAACTGAATAAAATCATGATAAGTATATACATAGCACGTGGAAGATGATGTTACGAGTGCTGGGATCGCTGGTTCGATTAAATGTCCGTACACAAATTCATGTTGAATGATCTCTGTGCACTTCCGCCATTTAGGAAGATGTCTGCTTCGGTTCAATGGGCCTTTCTCTGATTTTTTTTACATTTACGAGGAATAATGTTGCCTTCAGTAACACAAAACTTCATTAAAAGCAATTTACAATATCCGCTTCTTTAAAACTGGTAATATGTTAATCGCTTTCTAATCGTTAGAGCATTCTGTAATCGAATTTCTTCAATTTTGTCATTAAACGTTCTAAACATACCAAGAAAACAACATGGGGTTATTATTTATGGCTCCATATCCTGTAGAATACCAGTTTGATGCTCAGTGCTTATTTGATACATTTTACCACGACCCCTTTAAACGAAATCAATCAGTAATGTTTAATCAAACATAGTAATTAGGACTGCGAAACTGGATTATATTTTGTACAGATCACACTACATTATGGATACACTGTCAAGGGAAACATTATCATTGAACGTTATAAATGGTCATGTGAGTAAACGTTTGTAATATATTTTGATGTAAACTCTACAGGCGACAGGTCAGGGACCCAGGAGATGGATCCTCAGAGAAGTGAGGTCAATATATACCACCATCCAACATGTTAACAAAAGTTGTAACAATCGCTAAAAAGTCAGGATTTAGCTTTCCTTGAAAATATCGTGGAATAATGTGTAGAGTGGGCCTGTCTAAACTTTTTAATTGTGTGGGCAACTTTGGCAAAACTTGGTCTGTATGCGGGATATTTTAATGATGTTACGCAACGATGCTTGTCTGGCAGGAATTGGTTTTACTGCGATTTGAACAGATGACACAGAATATCATACAGGCTGTATAAATTAATAACATAAATATTCTCAGTATTTAACATTTGTAATTAGAAGAGTGGACCTTGAGAAATTTAAAGTAACTTTATTACAGTATAAAGAATGTCTTTGCTCATTGTGTTCACGTAATAAAGAGTATTTTTTTAATTCTTAATTATTCTTCAAAAGAGAACCTAACAAAGAGTAGTAGTAATTACTTTTTTATTAAAAATACGTTGTAATTGCAAATGCCATTGATCGTTTCCGGAAAAAGTGGATTTTAATGTATTACTCCATTCTCCAAATTTTGTAGCAAATAGAACTACAGTCCACAGATCAGGAGAAAATCCCTGCTAGGAATTCGATATACGCGCATGCGCAAGATTTCGCGGTGTGTGACGACCGATCCTAAAAGCATTCGTTCCACAACCACTGAACGAACAACAGACGACAGGCTTTCATGTGTTTTAATGGGTACAGCTTTAAGATTACCTCACAGTGGCACAGTGATTTAATCTAGAATATTATCGCAACACCCGCAGAACACATTAGAGGTGCGCTCACTACACGCTACTAGTAAAGGCTTGATGTTTTCAGTCTGTGTGTAGTAGAGTAAAACTCTGACGTATCACACTTCCCACCAATAGCAGCCCTCTAGTCCAGCTGATAAGTAACATTCCCCCCGCACCGCACCAGAAACGACTTCCCTCAGCAGGGTTTTTCTCGTGATCTGTGGACAGTATTTGAGTTGAAATATGGCCTCCGGTATATTGATGTTATAATGAGTCCACTATATCTTGATTTTATAAATGGGACTAGAACGAAGTACTGGGGGCTTTTGCCAAACTGTGGAGCTTCTGATCTCAACTTTTACATAGATGAGTAAAGTATACTGGTTGAGATTTTGGCGGTATTCCAGTCTGGTAGGAAGACTAATTAAGACGCTGTTAAATTAAGTCGACGTAAAACGAAATTGCAACTTGACTCAAAATAAAATACAAACTCAGGAAGTTGTATATACATTTCGAATTTAAGTAACTATATATACAAGAGTAGAGGAGCATTTACAGGTTTCGAACGAGAATCACACACGTCTGTGTTATCACGCACGGCTTTAAATCTCTTTGACTAATTTTAAAGTTTTCATCAGGAATGTACTGACGTGTCTACAAATATTTAACACTCTGTATACAACGAACGTGTATTCTTGAAAGTAAATTTCTTATTACATAAATTTGCATGGGAAATTTTAATACCTCGAGAGGTTTAAGTATTCCGCGTCGCCACTGGGTTGATTAATTTGGCCACAGATATTCCTTTTTGAAATGGCGCTTTGACATTCGAAATAAAAATTCATTTTAAAATAATTTTAAAGTACGTAGCGGGACGACACATAACACTGTCTTTATTCTCGCAAGACAAAAAAGATAACAAATCTATGTCCTAAGATGTATCTTAACTCATGAACAGTATCGAAAGGAAGCCAAAGGCCGTCCACTCATTTAATTGCGTTATAAACGAATTCGCTTGATTGACCTTACAGATATTTGTTATTCTCTTAAAATTAAAACGAATTAAGCCCATTGTCTTTTTCGGAGTCTGAATTCTGTAATTATGTTTTACAAACACGATAGGCTTTCCTGATATGTGTGTCGTCTATAACAAAGATACTATTCGAGTTCAGTATC